GCTACTTTCCAACGGATGGTGGATAGACTCCTGGATGGCTTCCAAGAATTTGCCTGTGCATACTTGGACGACATTGCGATCTACAGTGGGTCCTGGGAGGAACACCTGGCACATGTAGGGGTAGTGCTGGATAAGATTAGGGCCGCTGGCCTGACGTTGAAGCCAGAAAAGTGTCATCTAGGTATGGCTAAAGTGCAGTACCTGGGTCACAGAGTGGGGTGTGGGAGCCAGAGACCGGAGCCAGCCAAGGTAGAGGCAGTGGCTAACTGGCCCACACCTACTACTAAGACCCAGGTATTGGCCTTCTTGGGGACGGCAGGGTACTACAGACGTTTTGTCCCCGACTACAGCGCTATTGCTAAGCCCCTGACAGACCTGACCAAGAAAAACTTGCCTAAGCAGGTCCTGTGGTCTCCGGCTTGTGAAGCTGCGTTCCAGGCACTGAAGCAGGCTCTTGTGAATGCCCCTGTCTTGGCTGCCCCAGTCCCTAACAAACGCTTTCTCGTCCATACAGATGCTTCCATGTATGGACTGGGGCTGTGCTGAGCCAAGTCGGGGAAGATGGAGGAGAGCACCCTGTCGCATATCTCAGCAGAAAGTTGTTACCCAGAGAAGTGAGTTATGCGGCAGTGGAGAAGGAGTGTTTGGCTTTGGTCTGGGCATTGAAAAAGTTAAGCCCCTATTTGTATGGGCAAGAATTTTCCCTTGTGACTGATCACAACCCACTCGTTTGGCTTAACCGGGTCTCAGGAGATAATGGGAGACTGCTGAGATGGAGCTTGGCACTACAGCCCTACAATTTTACCATCAGCTACAGACCCGGTAAGCTAAACGGAAACGCAGATGGGTTGTCACGACAAACAGACGTTTCCATCACCTCGTAGTCCGGTCATCCCCAAGTTGACCCGCCACAGGGTCAAGCCGGGGGTCTGCCGGAGTGTCCTACAAGGAGGGAGCCGTGTGACAGAACCATCTGTCTGCTGGATTTTTGCCCGTTCGTCTGTTTGTCCCCGTTCGTATGAATGGCTGGTTTCTATAGCCCAGCCATTTGAATGACTTTTTTCCCGAACAAATCTGCCGAACGAACGGCCACCCAAGTGAGGAGTGTGCTGCAGGTTAACGAAGTGATCACCATTATAACGTTGTGGTTAACCGCAGACACTTCTCAATTAAACCGAACTCAGGGTGGTCGCCGTTCGTATGTCGACCACGAGGCAGCGGCCATTTTAAATCATGCGAACGCTCAGCGGTGTTTGGCTCTATTTCTATGGAACGGAAAACGGACACTTTTTCTGTCGAACACCGCTGAAACAAGGGAACGCCTGGCTGCCTCCACGAAAGCATGCGAACATCGGCCGTTCGGGAGATTGAGAACACACAAAGACTTAACCCAGATAGCCCACCCATGGAGTCATTCGTGTACCGAAGGACTGTAAGAACTTTGACTCCATGGCGATTGAACTATGTGTGTGGGATCTGAGCGCTATTCGCCAATAATATGCACTCAGATCCAGGCTATCTGGGGACATGTAATACGAATGGGAAATGTTCAGTTTTCATGTAGTTATGCATTTGTGTGTCTTTTATTATTTCATGTTTAAGATGGCGACTGTCCTTGTCCTGGAGTTAATTGAGTTACTTGGTAATTAACTCCAGGACAGAGGGGAGGGAATCAGAATGTACTGTGGGTAAAATATGTGACTGTGTGTCAGAAATGTCCTGCTATCTGTCTGTACTTTAAGTCTTCCATTTGGTCCCCTAGGGGAGTGTCCACCAGGTGGGAGACCTGCATAAATACGGGCAGGTAGCCCACAGTAAACCCAGATCTTATTTGACCCTCAATGCGGAGCTTCTGTCTCGTTATTGGGGGGATTTCTTCTTCACGTTTAGAGACTGCTGGATGGAACGAAAGCCGCTTTGGGGATATTATTGTTCGACGGTTCCTAGCAGTTCGTATATTGCCGTTCGGGAGTTTGGAGCCGCTCGTGGATTTCGATCGGGAGATTGCCGCTTCCCCTGCATTTGGTTCGTGGGTTACAGAGTAAGCGAACAGAGACTGTACTGCAGCCGGGGAAGGTTTACTAAACGGCGGTTTGGCTTAAAGACACGGGAGGTGTCTTAACAGCTACAAACTATCCATTAGGCTTAACAAGCTCCATGGTTTGTGCGCCTGTTCGGTTCCTGAACAGAATAGAGAAAGGGCACAAACAAAGTATTTTATGAGCCTTTTCGCATGGCCCATAGTCTTGAGGCTGGCAAGCGGGCTCCTCCAGGAGCTCGTGGCAAACTCACGTGGGAAAGCTGCACTTTTTAAGGAGAAGTAGAGAATGCAGGGCAAAGAAAGTTGATGTCCCACCGCCCCTTCTTCTGCCCACCCTGGTTCCTTCTAACTATATAGCATGCTCTTCCAGCTGTTTGGAACCACAGCCAATCAATAATAAAGCTGCAACGTTATGGTATTTATAGGAAATCTTCTTAAATCAGAATATTTTCACTCTTATGGTATATTGGTGAAGATCTGAGTCTCGTCTCTTTAGTGTAGACTTCAGTCTCACCACTAAGACCTTGTATGAGTGACCCTTAGAGCAATATATTTCTTCTTGCTGAATTAATGCTCACTCAGATATCACCATTCTAGGGAAGTGTCCTTACTTTAAACCTTACCCCTACCCTCTTTTGGCATCAAGTTGTTACGGGCAAATACAAATATTACAAGTTTTAGAATGAAATGTTGTATTTCTTAAACTGTGTACTTTGTCTTTAAGAGATATTGCAAACTGACAAGGTGTAAGAAATGGAACATATTGTTTCTCATAGATGTTTCTTTAAGCAATAACCTCAGTGCATAATATGTTTGCGCCATTTTGTCCCAGACGAATTACAATATCAATAATGCATAAACAAGCTTCAAGGCTATACTACGACTCTTGCAGTACACAATATACTGTGGTAACCCCAAGTTAATGGAACTTCCCCAAATCCGATCAGACACATGTAATCTCAGTGAATTTCATGAACTAGGTTTTCATAAAATAAGATTAAATATCAAAGTTGTTTATATATCAATATATCAATGTTGTTTATAAATAAAAGTATATAGACTAGGCAATAACAGCATTTACATGCATTCAGCAGCCTGCTCTCTCAAAGCCAGAAACGGATTTATAAAAAAACTA